GAAGGGTAGGCTCTTCCTATATGATTCACAGCCTCTGAAAACCTGCTGGAGGATTAGCTATGAGTTGGTTCTGACTTCCTGGTACATAACAACAACAACAACAACAACAACAATATACTTAATGGAGAAATGTGGGATAAAGTCAAGTCATAATTGCCATAAAGCTTACGATCCTGATTCACTATGGCAGGCAGATTGGGGAAAGTGCTTTTGAGATATTATTTCCTGGTTGTGGTTTTGTGTTTCTCAATTGTGATCACATCACCTAACTTGAGCATGTTGTCAGGAAGCGTCAGTCCTTGGAAAAGGACATCATGCTGGGAGACACAGAAGGTCAGAGAAAGAAAGGAAGACTCTCCGCAAGTTGGAGTGATAAAGTAGCTATAACAATGGACTTTAGTATATAAGAGATTGTGGAGATGGCACAGGATAGGGCAAGACACAAATCTATTCTCCATAGGGTCGATAGGAGTTGTAGCTGACTTGATGATACATAACAACAAGAAATGTGATGACATAGATAAACACTTTTAACAATTAATTTAGATCTGCACTTATGTAGTATATTTCTGAACTCTCAAGAATAGATTTGATGCACTGAACACTAGGAGTAATGAGTAGTCAAGGAGGGCCGAATATCTATCCCACAGATGTCGAAAGAACAAACAAATCTATGTTGGAGGAAGTGCGTCCAGTGTGCTCCTTGGTGCAAGGTTGGTGACACTTCATCTCACATACTCTGGTGCGTTGTCAGAAGGTGAGAGGAAGACCCTCAATGAGAATGGATCAAAGCAGTGACTGAAATATTGGGCTTGAATATGGCAGAGATAGTGAAGACGGCACAAGATAGGGTGAAGTTTCAATCTGTTGTTCATAGTGTCACTGTGAGTTGTAGTCAACTTGACAGCAAGGAACAAGAGCAAGAACAGCAATGTATTTCATTATAAAAACACTTTTAAAAAAGTAAAGAGAAAAGTTGGGAATTATGTTAACATCCAGGTAGTATTAACACATTAAATAGATTTTAATCTTCAGACAAGGAAAAAAAGTTTCAGTACCAGTTGGATTATTAATAATGAGAAAATTCTAAAACAGCCCTTATCAGAACAGCAAAATTTACTTATTCCAACATGTTATTGTTGTTGTTAGGTGTCAGCAAGTCTCACAGTAATGACTCATAACACCTCTCTATGTGACATCCTCACATTCTCTGACACACTCAAGTCTATTGCTGTAGTCATTGTGTCAATTCATTTGGTTGAGGGTCTTTTTCTCTTTTGCTGTCTCTCCACCTTTCTAAGTATGATATGCCTCTCTAAGGAGTAGCCTGCCTTTCCTAGCAACATGCCCAAAGTATATGAGACAAAGCTTCATCATCTTTGCCTCCAAGGAACACTCTGGAGAAAATTTCTCTAAGATATATCTGTTTGTTCTATCCATGGGATATTCAGTAATCTTCTTTAACACCACAGTCCAAAGGCATCAATTCTTCTTCTGTCATCATTATTCATTGTCCAATTCTAAAATGCATACATAGGAAGTGACTGAAAATAGTATGGCCTGAATCAGGCTCACCTTAGTCCTCAACTGATATCATTGCTCCTCAATAATTTGGAGAGATTCATGACTTCAGACTTTTCTAGTCCAGTATGTCTCCTGATCTCTTGACTGCTAGGCCCAAGTGTATTGATTGTGGATCCAAGTAAGATGAAGTCATTGATAGTCTCAATCTTTTCTCTGTCTATCATGATGTTTCCTATCAGTCCTGTGGTGAGGATTTTTGGTTTTTTGACATTGAGATGCAATCCATATTGAAGGATACAGTCTTTAACTTTCTGTAGCAAGTTTAGGAAAGACCATACCCTAGAAATGTATACCGTACTTGGTAACAGAGGCACAACAACTTGAATAGTGAATTTAAACACGCTAATGATCATGGCTGAAACATCCAAACAGGCCTAGAACAGTAGATTTGGAGTTGATGAGAGAGCACCTAACAACAATAAAATGATCACAAAGATGGTAGAAGACAGAACAATTTTGTTCTGTTATACATAAGGTCACCATGAGTCCTGTGGAATTTTCTCCACAGGAAACTGCTAGAAATCAAGTTGGATTCAGAAAAGGGCTTGGCACATGAGATATCATTATGATATCAGATGGATTTTAGCTAAAATCAGAGAATACCAGAAAGCTGTTTACTTGTGTTTTATTGACTATACAAAGGCAAACAACTGAGTATATCAGGGTAAATTGTGGATAGCATTGAGAATGGGAATTCCAGAACAATTCATTTTGTGAACTCAAAACCTGTACATAGGCAAAGCAGCAGTTGTCTGACTAGAAAGAGGGAACTCTTCCTAGTTTAAAACCAGGAAAGGTGTGCATCAGAGTCCTTTCTCCATGCCTCTATTCAATCTGTGTGCTGAGCAGATAACTCAAAGCTGGATTGTGCAAAGTAGAAAGTTGCATCATGATTGGGGGAACACTCATCAACAACTTGTGTCATGCAGATGACACGATTTTATTTGCAGAAAGTGAAGAGGACTTGAAGCACTTGTAGCAGAATATCAAAGACTACAACCTGTATGGATTACATCTCAGCTTCAAGAAAACAAACTTATCTGATAAGTATATCATGATGTTGTTGTTGTTGTTATGTGCCGTCGAGTCGTTTCCGACTCATAGCGACCCTATGCACAACAGCCCTAAACCCTGCTCTATCCTGCGCCAACCGCCCGGCCTCTAACACATCCATCTCGATTACCACAGTCACCGAATCAATCCATCTCATAGAGGGTCTTCCCCTCCTGCACTGTCCCTCCACCCTCCCGAGCATGATGTCCCTCTCCAAGGACCCGTCCCTCCTGGCAACATGTCCAAAGTATGTCAGACGAAGCCCCAGAATCCTTGCCTCCAAGGAGCAGCTTGGTTTAATCCTCTCCAAGATGAATCTGTTTGTTTTCCTGGCAGCCAATGGTACATTCAGTACCCTTCTCCAGCACCACAGCTCAAAAGCATCCACTCTCCTTCTGTCCTCCCTAGTCATTGTCCAACTCTCTGATGCATAACAAGCGATTGCAAATATCATGGTCTGTATCAGGCGCACCTTAGTCTCCAGAGAGACACTGTTGCTCCTGAGTACCTTTATGGAGAAAAGACTGGAGTTGTCAGTGATTTCATTTTACTTGGATCCACAATCAGCACCCAGGGTAGAAGCAGTCAAGAGATCAAAAGATGTGTTGTATTGGGGAAATCGGCTGTCAAGGACTTCTCCAAAGTTCTAAAGAGTAATAATGTCAGTTTAAAGACCAAGGTTCATCTGATCCAAGCCATGGTAATTTCAGCTGCTTCCTCTGCATCAGAAAGTTGGAAAATGAATAAGAAAGACCAATGAAAAAATCGATGCATTTGAATTTTGGTGTTGGCAAAGAGAATTGAATATCTTGTAGGCTACCAAAAGAACAAAAAATCTGCTTTGGCAGAAGTGCAGCCAAGGTGTAACTGAGAGGCAAGAGTGGTGAAACTTCATCTCGAATACTTTGGTTATATTGTCAGGAGGGGACAGTCTTTGGAAAAAACATCATGCTGGAAAAGTAGAAGTAGAGGGTCAATGAGAGGAGACCCCCAATGAAGTGGATTGACACCACCTCAATGGCGGTGACTTGTGTTGCATCTGTGACTATAACAATGTGCTTAGTATGGTAGAGATTGTGTGCATACTGGAAGATGGGGCAAGGTTTCAGTCTGTTGTTCACAGGGTTGTTATGAGTTGGAGTTGACTAGCAACAACAAATGCTCATTGAGTTGGTACCGGACAGGGCAACTTTGTTCTTTATGCATAAAGTCAACATGAGTCAGCACCAACTCAACAGTAACTAATGACACTCAATTTTCTATCATTTTTTAAATTTATATCAGATCCTATTATCTTCTCTCATTATGTATGTAATTTTTAAATTCTTTATTTTTAATACCAAGGACCTTGCCTTTTTTTTTTAGGTTTCCAAAATATGAAATCATTTCCTGGAAAAAATTTCTACTGACCAAAAAGCAATCAAACCCAAACAGACTGTACACCATCTCAATTGATAAAGCACAAGCTGTGGCACATATATACTGTCATTAAAAATTAAAGATGCAAAGTAGTCAGCCATGAAGGATGGCAAGTGTTTAAAGGAAACCAGTAATAGGGTCTTCCCATTGTTTTTCCACTCAATTAAAAAGGAAAGTTCTTTTCCAAAACCCATATGGTAAGTAAATGGCAGGCAGCATACAGCTGAGGAGAGGAACACTCTAGCAGCAAACAGGTGGGTTTTCTCGGGGAGGATCCTTCAACGTCTCTATGGAGCAGCACAGATGGGTCACTTTTACTGTAAAGGCTGATCAAGGAATATACCCTGGGTTTGATAGATTTCTTTGAGAACTAGCAGTACTGTATCTTCAGACTCCCAGTAGCATAAATGGCTTTGCAAAGCAAATAAATATTCATTAAAACTCTCAATGGGTTTCTCCTGAAGCACATAGTCGATGCGCTGACCTCCGTTCAGCATTCCCACATTGATGGGTGAGACTTCTTCTTTCACTGCCACGGGTATCTCTTCTGGGTTAACATCTGGAACACCGGGTTTCTCGGAACTGGATTCTAGCTCTGTTTCAGTTTCATCTGCAGTTTCTGAAGCTTGTAAAGCTGGATATGGAGCTCTGGTGAAAGACTTACAGGCCATCCGCAAGGAGCCTAGCAAGTTGTTCTTCAGGCCCATACTCATCCGGGACAAGCCCTCTCTCAGTTCTAAATGCATACGCTTCCTGCCTTTGTGATGTGGGTTCAACATTGGCTCAAATTCTACCTCTGGAACCACCATAGGTTCAATCCTATAGGCCACAGGATCAAAAGGGTGGTAAATATTGAAGAAACCTTTACACGTTGGAAATTTGTAGTTGGGATCAATTCTTTTCAGTCCTCGGACAGTAAGGAACATCCCAATAGGAGATCCAAAGGCAAAAAATATTTCTGGTTTATAGTTAAGCCGGGGATATTTTACAGATACCTGCCCAATGCCAACATCCAGAAAGGCATCATTTCTAGTATCACCAGTACTACAGCAGAACTTGGACTCTTTAGGGATCTTAGACATACTTGTCCCTGATGCTGATTGCAGGGTTGAGGACCTTGTCTTATGTATGCACAACAGGACTAGTTGTTTGTTGAAGAAATGAGAGTAAGGTAAACAAAAACATTGATATTCTGTCCCCCATATCACACAATTTAATACTAGTGCAACTATGAAGAAGCAAACAAATCCCAAAAATATTGACAGTATAGTAGCTTTCAAGGTATGTTAAGAAAGCAGTGCTTAGCCATTCATGCTTGCCATCTACTGTCCGCCTTTTCATTTACTGGCTACTGGAAGTTGTACTGTATGCATTATCCAGAAAATATTTTATTCTACTTTCCCAAAAATTAAAAATTTGTTTATAATTTAGGAGTCTATCAAACCAGAAGGGAACTCTGATGACCTGCCTAGATAATAGATAATTTTCAGTAGAGAATTATGCTGTCAACCCCAAGGCAGGCAGTTTGAATCCACCAGCAGCTCCATGGGAGAAAGATGGACAATTTCTTCCTGGGTGATTTACAGCCTTTAAAACCCCCCAAGAGCATCAGCTTTGAGTTTGTTCTGACTCCAGGTAAATGAGTTTGAGTTTTTTATAAATCCAGTAGCTACTTGCAACAACTAGTCACACACACAAAACCATATAATTGCCCTTGTCTAGAGAGCAGAAAGTGGGACAGAACAGAAAGTAGGGGCACAGGGCCATAAGCATCTCTCCAAAAGGGACAGAGGGAGTGAGATTAGTATAGCCCCTCACTACCTCAGAGCAGAAAGCAGATAAAAACCCCAAAGCTCAGCCCCATAAAGCTTCAAGAGCTAAACCAGCAGCAAGATGTTCGTTTATTCATTGTTGACTCATAGACTTTACTCACAGATGTGGTACTGAAAATGGAGTTTATTGGGTAAATGAGTTGGAAAGTGGAGGAGGCAAAAAATATTGTTGTTGTTGTTAAGTGCTGTCAAGTTGCAGGCAACTCATAGCGACCCTATTGAAGGAGAGTCCTCAACGCTTGGATGTCTTTCATCCTCTCTCTAGCAAAAAATATTACCCAGTGCAAATCCAGATTTAGCCCTGCAGTCCCAAGGCATAACTCCTCCATTAGTAAAAGTCCTGGTTTGAGTTTGCAACAGAGATTCAAGAAGCCTCTGGTTTCCTCAATCATCCAGCAAGACTTGCCTCAGAACAGTTATAATTCAGCTTCTCCTTGAAGCATTAATAGCAACAGCAGTCACCTTGAACTGTGGCTTTTATCTCAGTGCTTCTCTGGTTACACTTTACCAGTCTATCCACCACCATCACCAGGGTCTTTTTCTCAACAAAGCCTTACTCCAGTCTCCCTCAAGTCTTCCTGCACAGTGTGGGAGCCCACAAAGCTGGGATTTGGAGGTGTGATGAAATGGATTCCAGGAGTATTAAAAAACACACACACATACCCTTCCACCCCCAAAACAACAATAACCAATCAACCCTTCATCAGTTGCTACTACTGAAATGAGAGTTCTTCTGGGATGCAGAAACCTTAGGTAATAACAGCCAGAGGAATAGGAAGCAAAGGATCCCCTTTTCCCCAGTGACAGCCTTAAAGGCTCCCTTTTGCGCCCCCTGCTGGCCAAGACTAACCATGCGCCTGGCGGGACTGCCTGAGCGTCACAAAGCTCAATGGGCTGGGTTTGTGGCTGGGAGACAATCATTTATTCAGCTGCACAGTAATAGGACAGTTCTTCAGAATTCTTAAGGACTATAGAGCTTTCACAAAGAAAAAGCCATAAAGTCTATTGTTTCTATCACTGTTATGTTAATCACAATTTACATGTGAATGCCACTTCACAGGTTTGTGTTTGCATATGTTATCTATTCAGAATTCAGCTGTCAAACTGATGTACAACAAATCCGCACACAAAGAAGAATGAGGAAAAGCAAGGGGGGACAACAATCAAAACACATGCATCAGCAATGCTGAGCTTATTTTACTCCTTCCTTTCCACCAGGCCTGCCATCTCTTCAACTCCACTCTCTCCCTTTCACTCTCCTCTATGATTTTGTTCTTTCACATTGCCTCACGATCTGACTAACTCCTGCTGGGTCTCTAAGGTGTAGCTCAGCAGCGTTTCCTCCAAAATTAGTTTTTAGCTCATTGCCCAGTGTTGCCCCCTCTGGTTCTGGACTAAAGTGAGTCTCAACCTGGGGCAATTTTGTCTCGCAGGAGAAATCTGGCAATGTCTGAAAACATGAGGTATGATCTATTGTTACAGGGAGTTCTACTGACATGTATTAAATAGTGGACAGGGATGCTGCTAAACATCATAACAAAGCAAATGCCAGTCCCCTGCAATAACAGAAATAGTCCAAATATCAGTAGAACAAGGCTGAGAAATCCTTAACTCTAGTTTGGTGGTCCCAACATAGCTTTTATAGCCATGTGTGGGTGACATTAAAGAACTCTGGTGAAATAGTGGGTTAAGCATTGAATTGTCAACCCAAAGGTTGATGGTTTAAACCCATCAGTTGCTCCACGAGAGAAAGATGAGGTAATTTGCTCCTGTAAATATTTAAAGCCTTAAAAATCATATGGCATAGATTGGGTTTGTTAACATTTTCATCTTGCTCAAGTTCACAATTAACACTCTTGGCACCAGCCAAAAGACAAGCTGTTTTAGAAAAGTCTGCTATCAGGACCTCTCCAGAGTGCTAAAAAGCAATGGCGCCAGTTCAGAGATTAAGGTGTGCCTTATTCAGGCCATGACCCTCTCAGTTGCTTGCTATGTATCTGAGAGCTTGACAAAGAATAAAGATGACAGAAGAAGACTCAATGCCTTTGAGTTGTGGTGCTGGAGAAGAGTATTGAACATACCATGGACTGCCAAGAGAACAAACAGATCTGTCTTGGAAAAGATGAAACCATGCTGCTCCTTGAAGGCAAGGATTTTGAAACTCCATCTCAAATAACTTTGGGCATGTTTCCAGGAGGAAACATAGAGAAGGCCACCATGTTTGGAAAGCTAAGAGGTCAGTGCAGGAGAGGAAGACTCTGGATGAGATGGATTGACACAGTGGCAATGGGAGCAGCTGTGTTAGAGACAGCGAGATCGGATGAGAATAGGACAGGCTTCAGAGCTATTGTTCATAAGGTTGCTATGAGTCGTAGCCAATTGGACAGCACATAGCAACAACATCAATAATACAGTTGCACTGTGAGTCTGAGTTGACATGATGGCACTGAGATTTTTTTTCTGCTTGTACATTACATTATAATAATGTGCTTCTATTTCCTTCATCGCCTTAGCATTATAATATGCTTTCACACAGCAAGAACTAGCATTGTGCATGGCACTTAATGATGCTCATAAAGTCACAGCACTCTCACTAGAGTTGAGCACTTTGTTGGTAATTGTGGCCCATCAGCCCCTTGGGTAGATATATATTCTTATTAGACATGCGGTGAGGATAGTCAGATAATTTTTTATATTCTAGTACCATAGAAAAATGTTTCTATTCATAGTTATACCAAAACAACAGGTATAAATGAAAATTTTCCTAAATAACAAGGTATGTTGTTGTTGTTGTTATGTGTCGTCGAGTCTCTTGCCACTCATAGCGACCCTATGTACAACAGCCCTAAACTCTGCTCTGTCCTGTGCCAATCGCACTGTCTCTGACACTCCCATCCCAATTATCCCAGTCACTG